GGGAGGGAGGGAAGAAACTATCAATATATAATGAGGTAGAAAAATTCTCTCCCTCCCCTATAATTCCCCTGATGTTTCCAAGTTTTCTGTGGTTATTTGGGTGACAGTGTTTGTTTTCAGGAGTAGCCTAGAATGTAAAGCCAGTGTTCAAGATAATTGATGATGGCTGCCCTGAAGAAAGACCATCTTGTACCCAAGGAGCTGTTTCTTTTTAATCCTTTCTTTCTATTACTAGTTTTAAATAATGCTTCTGACAAGATTCTGCTTTTCTTCTGTCAACTGTCAGTGAATAGTATTTGGCATTATTTGTGAGGCTGTAAATACATTACATGAAAAAATAATGAGTCCTTAAAAAGTCAAGACAAATGCCTCCAGAGACATTTACCTAACATGGTGATTTATGAAGGTCCGGGAATGAAGTTTCAGAAACTTCCAAATGTAAAATCTGGAACATAAAATAAAGTCTCTGCCAAATCTTTCTTTGTTTTAGCCCCTGAACACATTTCTCTTTTACTTTTAATCTGAAAGTTGGAGAATGTTTTTCACATTCAACTTAAATTGTTTAGTTAATGGTCTAAGAATAACTTCGGGAGCATCCCTCAGCATAGCGTGTTATTACTCCATTCTTCTGACTGAACTTGATGTATCTACTGTGTTCTTGCTACATAAGCTGATCCCTGGGATTAATCATTTTCTTTTTACCAGCTAGAAATTGAAGACGTTTAATGGATATACCTACATCAGTCAATTTAATGAGTCTCATTGTCTGGGGTTTGAAATATACTGATCATTCTAATGTTAAAATATAGTTGACAGTCATTTCAAGTTTCCAAGTTTTCTAAGTTTGTCCTTCTTGCATGCCTGAGGAGGGTAATTTAGTTTAAGATTTTTTAAAAATTTAGTTTTTCAGAGCCTGGGAACTCAAGTGCATCTACTGAGTAATGTGCAGAAGGGACTCAACATTGTTTGCATTGTTTACTACCGTATAACTTAAGTAAATCACTAAACTTCTGTTTCTTTAGTAGGGACTATTTTGTTATCTCCGTAGAACTTGTACTGTGGAAGGATCATGCTGGATAGTATAACCCAGGGGAATCTCTGGCAGCCTTACAACTGTAAGGGAAATAATGGAATGTTGACATGGTTGTGATATCTGTCCTTGGGTGGAGAGCCAAGGGGCCCCGTTTCTCTTCAGAGGCTGAGCACGCGGCCAAGAGGGTGGCCTTCCAGAAAAAGGAGGCCCAGCAAGTCGTCATATACAATTACAAGAACTCAAGTGTCCTCAAACTGGAGTCATAATTCATGGTTTTTGGTTTCTGTTTTGTTTTCAGTTGTTTGAATTTATGAACTTTCTGGCTGAGAACGTCATCTTCTGTTACATGGGCCTGGCGCTGTTCACGTTCCAGAATCATATCTTTAATGCTCTTTTTATACTTGGAGCCTTTGTATCCTTTGAAATACAGAGAATGGGGTGATTAGAGAAGACAACCAACTGCTTACTTTTACTGATTATTCTGTTAAATTGCTAGAGCAATTTCCTGGGGTTCACTGCAGGGCTCAAACTCAAGACAGATTCATAATTTCTAAGTAAGGAAGCAAAGAATCTAAGAAATTGGGACCTTTATTAAATACTTATGGTTCAGGATAAGAAGTTTGGAAAATACTGAGGAAAATGAAGGGAGAAAAGGAAAATGTTGTTTTTTGAGTATTCAAGATGTGTTTTACTAAAATTATGAACCATTTACATACAAATTATGTCAATCCATTCTATATACAGACATATTTAATCTGCTTTAGAATATATCAGAAGGCAGCCAGGATTATTAAGCTTTGGAAATGTTTTCATTTCAAGATGGCAAAATATTTTTTCATTGAGTACTTTGAAAATAGAATAGACAGAGGAAAGATCAAATGAAATTAGCATGATGGATATGCTTTCAACATCCTAAGTGTTGTGCACATGTAAGCTCGTTTTAATAAGATAGCACCTTTCCTTTCTTGAGGAAAGATCAAATCAAGACCTCACTTTTAATGCAGCTGTGGCAGGAGGCATTCCCAGTAGGAATGGATGCCTGTCCAAAAGGATGTTGAGTCATTAGGAATGTCCAAAAGGACCCTCAGCAGCTGTTGTCCTTCTTACTTGGAAAATGGGCAGATGCCCCCTCAGATCATAGATGGGTAATCGTAACAGCCAGGAGAGCTGACCCCTCTTTTTATAAGCCCTTTTCTAGCTCAATATCATCACTTGCCTCTAAATCTCTTTCCTTGAGCATTCAGCTGAACCCTCAAACTACATCCAAAACCTGGATTTTAGAAGGATGCTTCATTTTCCCAAATAACTTTGTCCCATTGGGAACGAAGTAGAATAGATAGACTAGCAGGAAGAGTCCAAGGTCCAAAAAACGAGAGAACACCACCACCAATGTTTTCAAAGATTTTACTAAAATGCCCTCTTAAAGAAACAGTTATATTATACAGCTAGACAGGTAAGTTCTCTCAAAATTAATTCACTAAAAAAAAGCAAGGGAAGGTTGCTAGATACAGGGAGTATAAACTGATGGGAATAAGATGGTAATCACAGGCAGAAGTACATTTATCCTTTCTATAGGACTGTTTGAAAAGATAATGCCACAGCATCTGAACGGTCGCTGCCTCTCATTTTACAGCAAAATTGAGGATAGAGTCAGTCATCAGCAACATAAATGTGATGAGAATATTTACAGTGATTGAAACGGTATTGGGCTAACAGTTTTAAAGCAGGTATATATTCAGAGAAAGGCAGGGTTCTCCATTATTTCTGGAAAGGAATTGACACTGAAAGATGAATTTTGGAAGCCAGTTGGACATACATGAATTGACATGTTTATTCCTGTTTTTCATAATGTAGAGAAGCTTAAGGACATAATATTTAAGCTCAAGGACTCAAACCCTTATTGCAGCAACATTTTCCTCAATGTTTCCCTGTACTTACCTTCAGCTAGCAATTTTTGTTGCCAGAGCCTGCAACATATATCCCCTCTCCTTCCTCCTGAATCTGGGTCGAAAACAGAAGATTCCCTGGAACTTTCAGCACATGATGATGTTTTCAGGTATGTGGATTACATTGTATGTTAGTGCTGCTGTTCTCTCAGAACAGAACATGGAAGGTCATAAGGAGACTTTTTAGAAACATTTTACGGGAAGAACTTATCTTTACCCCATTCTACCTAACACCATGCTAATGCCCTGGAAGTTCTGAGCAACAGCAGGATATCTCTTTCCAGGAGAGAAATGAAATTAAAGGGAATCTTGTTGGTATGTCCTCATGGTACAGTATCTGGTCAGAAACTGGCATAGAATGGACATTGGACTTTTCCCTGATCTTTATCAGATCAATTTTCACCTTGGGGAATTTGAATTATTTCATAAATTGCATGCTCAAGGTAAAGGGTACTATGTCAGTAAAGGGTACTATTCTTGTCTGATGTCAGAGCATCTTTTCCTTAAAATCCCTACTTCTTCCCTATGCAAAGTTCCAGAAACTTCTCAAAGTGCCTGCAAAAGCAAATCAGATCTACGTACGCTCAGTTGTTAGTTAAGCAAACAAATATTAATTGAGCACTTACCAAGTGCCCAACAGAAGATCTAGGCACTGGTTGATGAAACCAACAAGGTCTCTGCACTCAAGAATCTTGTACGTGAATTGTTTCCATCATACCCTGAAGACTCCTTTCCAAAAGAAAATAAGCCAAATGAATTTGCTGACCCTGAGCAACTCTGGGGATTATGGTTTATTTCTGTTCAATCAATTTTCCTTCTATCCCATTAAGCTTTCCCTGTTCAGAGACCTTGTTCAGAGACCCTTACTTGCCTCCTATGTGTGTGTACACATGATACCATCAAAGGCAGTTCATTGAAAGATACATGAGAGTAAAAAAAATTACTATCAGAATGGCAATATCATTTGGGGTACATATAGTGGCACATAGAAAAAGTGAGAGAAATTGACATGTATCAATACTTGCTCTTTGCTGCTAGCTTTTTTTTTTTTTTTTTGAGTTGGAGTCTCACTCTGTCACCCAGGATGGAGTGCAGTGGCACATTCATAGCTATCCCTGCATTGACCTGCTGGGCTCCGGTGATCCTTCTACCTCTAAGTAACCGGAATTATACGTGCGCACTACCATGCACCGCTAATTTTTTATTTATTATAGGGAAGAGTTCTCGCTACGTTTCCCCGGGCTGGTGTTGAACCTGTGAACTCAGGCAATTCACTCACCTCAGCCTCCCAAAGTGCTGGGATTACAGGCTGAGCCACTGAGTCTGGCTGCTTGCTATTTTTAAAATCAATCCTATGAAGCAAGTATTAACACAGTTTTATACATGTAGAAACTGAGTCCAGGATCTCAAATGGGTTAAACAACTTGACCAAGGACAAAAGCATTCCTGAGCCCAGATCTTTGAGGCTCCACCTCAGACCCAACCAAGTGTCTCAAAATCCACATTCTGAAAAGTGATACTTGAATCAAAAGATTTGTTTGACCTGTTTCACCATCAGTGCCTTTCTAGCCTGGTCCACACAGTAAAGAGGGGCAGCTCTCAAGTTAATAGTGAGTCATTCAGTCAAATATAGACAAGTGGCAACCCAAAGTTAAAAATCACCCTTCTGAAGGCCTCTAACTGTGCTTCCTTACATTTCCAGACATACTAGAGTGAGACAGAGAGAGAGAGTCATAAAGAGAGTGAGAAATTGAACTGGTGGGTGCTTTGAGAACAACAGTGTACTTTGGCAATGAGTTGACTTCCATTATGAAAAAGTAAAAGATAAATTTGATCACATATAAATAGGAAGCCAGCATTGGGTTGCTTTTTTTGCAAAGCACTCTTAGGAGTTGGAAAGCATTTTTCCTTCTTTCCCATCAAAACATCAGTGATTTTACTCTGGAGGATAGCAGCTTATTTTCAAAACTTGGATATTGTATTTTAAACATTGCTTTATTTGACAAAGAATGCTTTGAGCAAAATGTAAGACTCTAGATAATCATATTAGAATGTGAAGTGTCTGCCCAAATGGCCACCTGGCTTGATGGTTTCTCCAGGCTTTGGCACCTTCTAAGTTTGCTTAGCTGTAGGATTGAAGCTGCATTAAAAACTCATAGAGGCCAACAATATGGTGTGTACAGCGAGGGGATGTGTGGAAACCCAGAACTTATCTTTATAATATTTTAAAGCAAGAAGTCAGCAAACTATGGCCCTTGAAGCAATCTGGCTAAGGGCTCTTTTATTAATAAAGTTGGAATTAGCACTACCTCTTTACTTATTGTCTATGGCTGTTTCTGTGCTACAGTGGCGGAGGTGGGTAGTTACAACAGAGACTGTATGGTTCACAAAACCTAAAATATCACTATCTGGCCCTGTTCTAAAGCACCCTCACCTTCTTAAAAAGAATAAATAAATAAAGCCATATTAATGGGGTTGAAATTATTAGTTCAATTCATGGAATGCAAATTAGCTAGCTCCCATCATTAAAGAGACCAGCATGCCAAATTTTCAGGACAACTATCTGCATATGATTCTGATGTCCAGAGAATGCCACCTATTATCTTCCACATTGAGCACCTGTGTCATCTGCCAGGCAGTAAGCTTAGCAGCTTAAACTCAAAGGTGCAGTCATCTTGGGCCAGTGTGGGCTTCTTGTATATATTTAACTGGATTTTTGTTTTGTACACTTTTCATATTGAAGTGAATCTGAACAACAGAGAGATTGGGTAACTTCTTTACTTTTTATTTATTTATTTTTATTTTTTTGAGTTGGAGTCTCACTCTGTCACCCAGACTGGAGTACAGTGGCCACTCCCGGCCACCGCAGCCTCGACCTGCTGGGCTCCGGTGATCTTCCTCCTCAGCCTTCCAAGTAGCTGGAACTACAGACGCGCGCTACCACGCCCAGCTAATTTTTGATTTATTGTAGAGATGAGGTCTTGCCAAGTTGCCCAGGCGGGTCTCAAACCCGCAGACTCAGGCAATCCACTCACCTCAGCCTCCCAAAGGCACGGGATTACAGGCTGAGCCACCGAGCTCGGCTAATATTTTTAAGGTCATTTTTATGAAAAGTTAATAATATTGAAAATGCTCTTTCGTATAGTGGAAAGAACACTGGGTTTTCCACTAAAATGCTGTCTTTTTGGCTTTCAAATGAGAAGGTAGCGATGCTACATAATTATGCAATGGAGTCATAGATGCCACAACTCAAAAATCACTTCCCACCTTCCTAAGACCTTTCATATGCACTGTTTTGAGACTCATAGCCAGGGCAAAATAAGATAGGCATTATAAGTCTCTTTTTTTCCTATTGTTTTGTATTGTGGTAAAATACATGTAATATAAAATTTATCATCATCACAATTTAAGTATACAGTCCAGAGTTATTAAGTATATTCATAATATTGTGCAGTCATCATCACCATCCATCTCCATAACTCTTTTCAGCTTCTACAACTGAAACTCTATACCCAGTAAGCAATAACTCTTCATTTCCTCCTCCCAGTTCCTGACAGCCACCATTCTACTTTCTGTCTCTATGATTTTGACTACTCTGAGTGCCTCATGTCAGTGGAATCATATGGTATTTGTCTTTGTCTGATAGGTTTATTTATCTTAGCATAATGTCCTCAGGTTCATCTCTGTTGTAGTATATTACAGAATTTCCTTCCTTTTTAAGGGCGAATAATATTTCTTTATATGGATATACCATATTTTGCTTATCCATTCATCTATCAATAGACATGAGTTTCTTCCACATTTTAGCTATTGATGTGAACACGGGTGTACAAACAACTCTTCAGGACCTTGCTGCCATTTTTTTCCCACAATATATTTCCAGAAGTGGAATTGATGGATCATATAGTAATTCTATTTTTAATATTTTGAGGAACTGCCATGCCATTTTCCACAGTAGCTGTATCATTTTCCAACCCCACCAACAGTGCCCAAATGTTCTAATTTCTCTACATTTTGGTCAACACTTTTTTGGTATGAGGTGGCACCTCATTGTCATTTTGATTTGCATTTCCTTAATTATTAGTGATGTTGAGTATCTTTTCATGAGTGTATTGGCCATTTGCAGGTTTTCTTTGAAGAAATATCTACTCAAGTCTTCAGTCCATTTTTAAGTCGGAACATTTGTCTTTGTTGTTGAGTTATAAAAGTTTTCTATATTTCCAAGGTATTAATCCTTTATCATATATATTATTTGCAAATATTTTCTCTCATTCCATTGATTGCCTTTTTTACTGTTTATATTGTCTTTTGATGCATAATTTAATTTTTCATGAAGTCTAAGTTGTCTATTTTTTTGTAGTTGCCTTTTTTGTTGTTGTTGTTATTTTGTTGTGCTCTTAGTGTCATATCCAAGAAATTTTTGCCAAATCTGATGTGCAATTTTTGTCTTTTTTTTCTAAGAGTTGTATAGTTTTAGGCCTTATGTTTAGGTCTTTGATCCAACTTGAACTAACATTTGTATTTGGTATTAGATAAGAGCTCAATTTCATTATTTTTCATGTGGCTATTCAGTTTTCTCAACACCATTTGTTGAAAAGACTGTCTTTTCCTATTTAATGGTCCTGGCATCCTTGTCAAAAATCTTAACAGTATTAAGTCTTCTAATCCATGAACATGGAATGTGTTTCCATGTATTTATGTCTTCTTTAATTACTTCCAGTAATGTTTTCATTGTACAATTTTTTTACCTCCTGGGGTTAAGTTAATTAATAAGTACTTTTTTTCCTTTTGATACTATCTCGAACATAATTATTTTCATAATGTCCTTTTCAGATAATTCATTGTTAGGGTATAAAAATGCAATTCATTTTTACATGATGACTTTGTATTTTGCTACTTTGATGAACTCATTTATTAGCTTTCACAAGTTTTTCTGTGGAATCTTAAGGACTTTCTACATATAAAATCATACTATCTGTAAACAGATAATTTTCTTTTTTTCCTTCCAATTTGGATGCCTTTATATCTTCTTGCTTAATTACTCTAGCTATAGGTACTATATTGAATAGAAGTGGGAAAAGTGGTCATCTTTGTCTTCTCCCTGACCTTA